ACACATCCCCAACAATCTCCTTTATTATTCTTATATCTGTCTCTCTTAAGTAATGTTAAAGAAATTTGCTCAAAACCCAAAATGCCCAGGAAAATAGCAGCACACAGGCAGTTCATTGACTGAATATTACAAAGATGAAATCCCCCAAATTTACCATGTTGATATTTCTTTCTTTGAGCCTGCTCATACCAAAATTTCTCCAATAAACAGGCTTCTTAAAAACTTCCTATGATGTGCCTTCTAATTATTAGCCTGAACTAACTAGCTAATTGAAGATACAGGCTTTGACTAATCATCAACTCATATTAGGCTTAGGAGCATGAAATTTTTTAGATCTTATAAAATTTCACATTCTATAACCTATCAGCTATTTTCACTGGAAAAGTTGTTTATTTTCTTTGAATCTTGTTTCCTCTTCTGTAACATACAAGTAATGGGAATGCTTGACTTAGAGTAGTGACGTGAAGATTAGTATAGGTGAAATTGCTTTGAATCTACAGAGTGCTGTGCAGGTGAGAATTTGAATAGATGATTGTTGGATGACATCAAGTTGGGAACCATAAACAAGTTGTGTTTCAACTTTGCCTTGCCATTTACAGTGTGGCCTTGGGCAAAGTACTGCAATTTATAACCTGTCTTATGGGGTTGTTGTGGACCTTAAATGAGGTAGTGTGTATAAGTTCTTATTTCACTGCCTAGGACTTGGTAAATGCTGAAAAGTGTTTATGCTTATTTTGATACTAATCATTTTGATAATTTTGCAACAAAATTGTTATTATTTGATAATCATGTAACATGAAAGCAGGAAGAATTTCATATTAAGAATTCTTTGGTTTGTCTCAAAAATCAGATCTAGTAGTTTTTTAATTTGCCTCATACTAGTCCTGGCTCAGGTATTAATATGTTAATGATCCTTTATCTGAAATGCTTGGAAACAAGTATTTCTGATATTGGGATATTTTTCAGGTTTTGGGATACTTGTACATATGCGTATATACTTTTATATATGAGATATCTTGAGTGGGACCCTGTATTTAAACATAAAGTTCATTTCTGTATGTATTACACACATAGCCTGAAGATGATTTTGTACCATTTTTAGTGCACCTGACTTTTAACTGTGAGCCATTATACAAGAATACATGTGGAATTCTCCACTTGTGGTGTCATGCGAGCACTCACAAATTTTGGTTTTGGAGCATTCCTGAGTTTGGTTTTGGAGCATTAAATGTATTTAGAATCATTATCAGTTCAAAGGCTGAAGTTTATTTAACCTCTGTAAACAATAGAGACATTTTCTTTTTCCATTTAAGTTCATTCCTTCCAAATTGCTTAAGGCAGTATTAATAAGTGTTTTGAATTATAATTACAGAATAAATAATAATAATAATATTTTAAAATTAGTGGTTATGTTGTGGACAATTATATATGCTTTAGATTAACAAATATTGAAATAATTTTTAAACTGCATGTATTTGCATACTACCTAAAGAAAAGTACAAGATTTGCCCTGGATAATTTGTAGTTAAAAAGCTCATAAAATTATCAGAGATTCAACATGGCTGAATAGAGGAGCCATGTTGCAGTTACTCAGAGAAAATCATCTAAAAATACAGTGGCTAATTGGAATCTCTAGCAACAAAAAGGTTAGAGACTGCAGCAGCAGCAGGGAAGGTAGCGAATGCTCTGATCCCACTAGCATGAGAGGGACAGATGCAGGACTTAAGCCACAGTGGAGAAATGAGTGGGCCCCCTGCTTGGCTTCCCGCGGGTGTGAGAGGAGAGAAACTCAGTGAGCTGGAACAAAGAAGGCTGTCCAAGGACTGGGAGGGGCCAACTGTAAGTGGGGCTAAGAGCAGCCTCAGGCTGTTCCTCTCTCTGAGGGCACTGCAGCCACTGAGTGACACAGAAAAGCCCGGGTGAGGAGACGTGGGTGGGCTGCTGAGGGACATACAGAAAGTTGCTGGATGAAGCGTGGTCCCAGCCCCCACATCCAGAGGCCAAGATCAGCCCTGCACCCAGCACTAATCCTAGGGCACACTTGGCGGGGTTGATCAGCACAGACTTGAGCTCTGACTTGGACACTACCACAGAACTAAAGGCGCCAGAGGAATTTCATTGTTTTTGTTGTTATTGTTGTTTGTTTGTTTGTTTGTTTTGTTTTCCTTCTGCTATTTTTTTATGGTAGTTCAGGCTTAAGTTCTACTGTTTGTTTTGTTTTGTTCGTCTTTTTTCTCTCTTTCCTCAACTTCCTTTCTTGATTTTTTTGATGTTTTCATGTGAGTAAATATTATCTCTAGTGTCTCTGGCTCACTCCTTCATTGCTTCTCCTCTGTCCTCTTCTCTTCTTGGCCTCTCCCTCTCTGTACAACACCTATCTGGCAACATGAGGTCATGAGTTCAATTTCTGGTATCAACAAAACAAAATAAAAAAACTAAATAACCCAATATCAGCCAAAGAAATAGAAGGTGTAACTAGAAACCTATCAACAAAGAAAAGCCCAGGTTTTGACAGATTCACTGTTGGACTCTACAAGAAATTTAGAGAAGACTTAATGCCACTACTTCTCAAACTCCTTAATGAAATTGAAAAGGAAGAAATACTCCCAATTCATTCCTGGAGGAAAGCATTATCCTAATACCAAACCAAGAGAAGGATCCAAACAAAAAAGAGAATTACAGGCCAATCTCCGTAATGAACATAGATGCAAAATCCTTAATAAGATACTGGCAAGCAGAATGTAGCAAATTATCAAGATTATACTCCACAACCAAGTAGGATTCATCCCAGAAACGCAGAGATGGTTCAATGCACACAAATCAGTAAATGTAATACATTGTATCAACCGACCAAAACCAAAATCATATGAGCATCTCAATCGGTACAGCAAAAGCATTTGACAAAGCTCAACATCCATTCATGAGCCTTACAGAGAACTGGAATAGAAGATCTTTATCTCAATCTGATAAGGCCCATGTATGACAAATCAACAGCAACACAAAATGGCCCAAAACTGAAATTTCACTTTAAATTCAGGAACAAGGCAAGGATGTCTACTGTCGCTATTCCTATTTTATATAGTTCTGGAATCACTAGCCAGAGAAATTAGATAATAAAAAGAAATAAAAGGAATAAGGATAGGAAAGGAAGAAGTTAAATTATTATTATGTGTTTCTCTATATTATCTTCTGAAAACTTTATTATCTGCTGAGAGCTTTATTTTGGTTTTCAGATTTTATTCAGAGTTTGTGTAGAATTACTTATTATTATTATGAATTGAGGTAGAGACTAATTTTATTTTCTTTTTTCCTTTAATTTTTCCACAAATATCCAGTAGACTCAGCAAAATTTGTTGAAAGACTATCTATTCTGTAGCATTAGGAAGACCTTGCTTCATTATGAATCAAGTCTTTGGACCTAACTCTGTGATACATACATGTATGCCATGGGGTAAAAGTGGCATGTATACACCACGATTAGTTTTGTTAAGTTCCATCATGAGTATTTAAATCATTTCTAAGGGTATGAGCAAAACAAACATTCTGCATGTATTGTGTGCCATATGTTACAATACTTTTATAACATACATTGTTTAATTGAATAGAATAAATAAATACTAATGGTCATCATGATACATTATTCATACTTGTGTAAGGAGTACTATAGTTTTGTGGAAATTAACCCTTTCCACAGTGAGCTAAACTTTTCTAAGTCTCTCTCATTCAAACACAAAAGAGGGATCATGTAGCTCTGACAGACTATATTATATACTGAGAGCTATTGAGACGCCCTTAGTGGCTTAGTGCTGTACTACTCAAAGCACAGTTTGTGGATCAGCAGCATCATAGCAACACTCAGCTTGTTGTAGATGCAGAGTATCAAGTCTTGCACCAGCCCCCTGGACCAAAATCTAGAATTAACAAGATCCCTGATGTGTATTAAATTTGAGAAGTAATGTTTTAGTACATGACATGAAACAGAGACTGATAACTTTTTTCTAATGAGAACATGTTTTATAGTGTCATATGAGTTTCTATTTCCATCATCTTTATAATATGTATAAAAGCTATAGAAATACAGAATTATGCTTGCCTTGTATGAGAGCTACTACTTGTAAAATCCTAGTAGGCCAAAATCACACTGACACATGTTTTGCAAATGCTTATTACTTTCAAAAAGCACGAACACTTTTATTTCTTTAGGTCTATACTGTACATTAATCTCATAAAGTGGTAAAAGTGAAGATGTCAGTGTGTCTGTTGTAGTGAGGCTTAGGAAAGTTGAGTGACTTCTCAGGAATATTGTGTTCCCAAGCTTGGTGGTCTTGCCACAGTGCATATGGCTTTGTAACTAATATTGCAAAGACAGAAACAGCAAAAGCTATGTGCTCAATACTAGTTATCCAAAAGGAGCTTTGAGAAAGTATGAATAATCTAAATGTGCACTTGATCTATCTTTTCTCACAATGGTTTATGTGCACTCAAAAATAGTAGCTGAAATTTAACCTCTTCTTTCCTCTTTTCCATATTTACAAGAAGTAGAATTACCTAAAGTAAAGGGCTTCCCCCCGGCAAAAGAAAGCCACAAACAGAAGACAAACATAGGCAATCCAAAGCATATTCTGAAGCTGTGCAATTGGATTTTGGTGTGTTGCTATCTCTATGTGAATTGTGACGAGTGCCAGGTCTGTGGAAGCTCATAGGCAAGGCAGTTTACATATGGAAGTGCTTCACCCGGCACCACACAACTTGACTCAGATATCTGGTGGAGCGCCTCACAGAGGAGTTTTTGACATGAATTGAGAGTGTCATTCAAGTGCCTGTGCAAATCAGAGGCTGTTTCTCTTCAGTGTGTCTTATGTGGGCCATGAATCTTAGGTCTTACCCACACATGTTTCCTAGCATGGGGTATGTGAGGAGGGTCTAGCTACACAGGCAGCAGAGTACAGGAAATGTTAGTAAAGCTTCCTCTCCCTCTTTCTTCTCCTTTGTGTTCCCAGTTGCCAGGATCTTCAGATGGAGATTTCCATTCTCCAGGAGCAGATCTCGCATTTGCAGTTTGTGATTCACTCCCAGCATCAGAACCTGCGCAGCATCATTCAGGAGGTCAGACTAATCACGCGTATCTCTAGATGGTACATTTATCACGTGAAGTCCAAATATGAGTAGCAGGTCTGGTCTTCAGAAGTAATGAGACTTTTCTCCCTGCTGACGTATCTTTTTGATTTCTCCTGTACAAGGTGTGGCTCTGTCTTCAGTGCCTTCTCCTGCCTGCAGCACCAACACTTGTCGTATTCTCAACAAAGATAGCTTTGGATATTGCATTTTCCTGGTTTAAAGTGTTTCACTGATTTGCATATAAGTGCTCTGAGTCAGATACTGCTCACTCTTATTTATAATATTTGTAGGTTAGGAGAGTGAGATCCTTCCAGGGTAAGCAGTTGTCTGATTTTGTAACCTCATAAAGAATAAGTATATTTAGAAGATGTTTTAGGGTAGAGAATAGTTTGACTCTTCTCTAAGAACATGCTGACAGGTGAAAAGAAGAGAGAATGGTAGGCTGCCAGCCAGATAGGAGACTGCATGGGTATGTAGTATCTACTTCCAGATGTGCGCTCAAAATCAGACCTCCATTCGATGTTTTTACTTCATACTCGACATTTGTTTTCTAAAGGAGTCTTTCCCCGTCATTCCATTAATGTAGCATTTATACTTGCCTGCCCATGATCTCATCAACGGGCTGAAAAGTTTTGTGATTTAAGAGCGTGGAGGAACTTAGGGAGCATCCTACACCCTCATTTTACAGAAGAGTAAGCCAAGGCTTGGAGAGGTGCAGAGACAGAGCTGAGGGTGAGAGATAGCTTTAGAGTCCAAGTGTGCCTTCTCTCCCAGCACAATTCTGTACCTCATCACTCCTCCTACAGTTTCTTGTGGCCTCTTGGTAAAGCAGGCTTATCTCATCTTGCTGCTGGCTGACAAGTTCTGCACTGCAGGGAGCCTGTGCATGCCAGGCAGGACCCTGCCTTACTCCCACCAGCTGGTACATTTGGAGGATGGTGCTATCAGGTTGCTAAGATACCTAGGGATGACCAGTGCTGATTTCCACAGGATGTGCTCTGCCGAACTGGGTGTAAGCAGGTTATCTGCAGACTTGAAATGTGTGATGGCACCGTTGGAGTGATTTCCTCCCCAGGTGTCGCCTGTGCTTTTCTGGAGCCTGCTGGGTCTGTTAGCGCTGTGAGAGTTCATGTTTTTATTTGCTGGACATCGTTTGACCTCAGAAAGTGATATATTTTCTGATTTAAGTAACTAGTCCCTGTGGACTGACAAGATTTTTTCCAACTGTGTTTCCTAATTCTTAGATGGAAGGATTAAAAAATACTTTAAAGGAACAAGATAAAAGAATTGAAAATCTGAAAGAAAAGGTCAACATACTTGAAGCCCAGGTAAGAAGAGAAGCTCTGGTACATTTCAGTGTGTGTGTGTGTGTGTGTGTGTGTGTGTGTGTGTGTGTGTGTGTGTATCAGTGAGCCTGTGTATGCATGTGTGTGAATGTGCTTGTACATGATTGTATATCTGTGTGACACTATACCTGTGTGTCCATGTAAAATACATGTGACCATGATTAGGGGCTGGGGATTTAGCTCAGCAGCAAAAGCGCCTGCCTGGCAAGCCCAAGGTCGTGAGTTCAGTTCCCGGTACCAGAGAAAAAACCAAAAAAAAAAAAAAAAAAAGAATTTACATGTGACCATGATTGAGTGTCTATGTGTAACTGTATGTGCAGTGAGTATATACAGGTGTCTTCTAACAAGTGTCTGTTTGTGTATGTGTTATGCACAAGAAATATCTTGGGTGAGGTCTTATAATAATTCTTCAATTATTTTAAATTACTTTTATGCATTTAAAATATATTATCAAATTATTGATGTTATTAGCATTACTTATTAAATAATACTAAATAATTGTTAAAATTTCAACCAAATTTTCCAGAATACTGTATTAGTGAGACAGAGGATGCCCTCTTTGTATAGAAGCTTGGTCAAGGCCCCTGTGATGTCAGTTTCAGTCTAGCCAGATGACCAAGCTTCTTGCCTCCTGCCTTTGTTCCCATACATGGTTTCTTTATAAGCCTGAGAAACCCTTTTCTCTCCTCGTTCTTCATCTCCATCCATCCTGGTATCCAAATTTTACCTAAGGGCTCATCTCACTTTTAGAAGTCAGATACAACTATCTTATTTTCAGTGTTTTAAAACTCTGGGTGATACTTCTAATTTCCTATGATAAGATAGGCTTTTCTTCTTGTCGTTTCATTTCCCCTTCCTTTGTATTCCCTTCCTGGATTTCAGTGGCTGGCCTACTGTGGGTGTCCCTGCCTCACAAAAATGCAGTGAAGCCTGAGTTAAGGTTAGGGCACCCCTGAGCACCTCCACCTCCACTTTTCTTGCTGTGTCACCCTTGGTCTCTGTCAAATGACTCATATCCAACTACCAGACCCAGTCGTGTTTTTTACTTTATCCCTAGTGTTTTGAGTTCCTACTTGGTATCTACCTACTAGTGTTGACCTTTCCTGTGAGAGACAGAGATGTTCTGGCTTCCACTGGAACTCTGTGTCATCTTTTGGGACTTTTACCCTCTCCAGGCTAGACCAGAGTGGAGCATCATGAGTGTGCCCCCAGAACATGGTCTCAGCAGGTCTTTCACCACCATGTTTTTCCTGATTTCCCAATCAGAAAATAAACAATCATAATAACATATAGGTTGGAAATATTTGACGCCTTTGGTCTTACAGCTTTATTTCCCTTTTCTCTCTTTCCAGGGACTACCATTCTTTTCTTGCTCTAGAGGAGAGAGCTCATTGATCCTCATGCCTTCCTAGGCTTTCTCTCTTTAGGATGTATGTGACCATTGATTGGATTAAGATACTGCTTGTGGCTCTGTACAGCTGAAAATTTTGGAATTATAGGCTCAAATCTCGTGTCCAATAATGGATTTTTTTGTTTGTTTGTGTTTTGGGTCTGAGAATCTTGAGATTATATGATTCATGAGAAGAATCTTTTCCTCCTAAACAATGTTCTTGAAAGAAATTTCTTCAGTTTTTCTTGCTTAGTGGCCAGTTGGAAAATATTACTTGATAAAATGCTTTTGCTATTATATATATAAAATCCTTTTTCTATTATCTATTAATAGAGTATGTATATTACTTTTGTATTGTATATTATTTCTGTAACTAATATATATTCATACATTGCACATAAATTAATTCATAGGGATATTGAAATAGACTAAAAAAAATCACTCACAAAGATACCACCCACAGGGGAACTACTCAGCAAGATTGTCTATATTTCTGTTTTTTTGTTGTTGTTGTTTTTTTGTTTTGTTTTTTTCTGGTACCGGGAATCGAACTCACGACGTTGTGCTTGCCAGGCAGGCACTGTACCGCTGAGCTAAATCCCCAGCCCCAAGATTGTCTATATTTCTGTGAAAACCTATTTTTCTACTAGATACTTGTCTGTACACATTAAAGTTATAGAATATAAATGAGTATCATATTATACTTTTTAAAACTGTGAGTCCTTTCATCTATTTTCTCACATTAATGCTTATATAACTAGCTCCACAAGCACTTACTGAGTGATGCTGTGGTTTAGATCCAGAATGTCCCACACAGCCCCATGTATTTGGAAGGTGATTAGATCATGGGGGCACCGTACTCCTAAGTAGAATCATCCCCTGGTGAGTTCCGTAGCTCCGTGCACTGTTAGGAGGCAGAGTCTGGTTGGATGTGGGTCACTGAGGACTTGACCTGAAAGGGTGCTCTCTTATCCCTGGCTCCTCACTTCTTTCTATGATTCCTGGCTGCCATGGGTGAGCACCTTTTTCTCTGTGCCCTTTTGCCATCCTATTTCTGCCTTGGAGCCAGTCAAGGACTGAAACCGTGAGCCAAAATAAACCTCTCCTGTAAGCCATGGTGTTGGATGTGGGGTCTCATCAATGGGGAAGTGAGTACGACCAGTGACTACTACAGTATAGACCCAGAAAAACAGTGTTCAAACAAAACAGACCTGAGCCCTGCCCTCTGGGATTCACTGGCTAGTGAACGAATTTGAAATACCCATGTATTCTACATTCTTTTAATTTTTTTTTATTTTATGTGAAAAAAGGTAAAACAAAATTTCACAACATAATAATAGGAGAATGACAATAGTTAATACATTACATGTTATCTTTAAAGTAGCTGCTCAGGGTGTAAAATATGGACATATATATTTCTCCAATTGATATTAGCACAGATCTTCCTTTTTAATGAACTAAGAGATGATAGTAGTATAACTGATTGCATTTTTCCCCTTTTCCCTAGTATCCTTTCCCCTAAATTGTTCCAATAGCTTCTCAGCCTACTTTGGCTCCAATAGCATAGTTTTAATTATTGTGGCTATGTAATACATTTTGTATCTTGAATAGGTATCTTTCTCTGGTGTGTCACCTCATTATTGTCCTGAGTGCTTGTCCTACCTAATTAAGTACTAACCCTCACCAAACAGTTAATGCTTCAATAGTGCTATTGCTTCAAATTTAGTTTTATATTCTTTAGTTGTATCTGTTCATATTATCCTTGAAACAAATTTTATGGTCCATAAAATGACAACGTAGCCCAGAGAGTGTACAGTAATCCAGTTGGCTTTTTGGCCCAGATTGGTCTGTTTCCATTGTACTCTGGTTTTACACTGCAGTCTCAGCAGGTGATTGCTGACTTGCTGCTCGGTGGTGATAGTCGCAGTCTTACGTGTGCTCCTCTCCTGGATCCTTGGTCTGCTGCAGACTCTTCAGAGTGATGTGACAACACCCCTCCGTGTTGTCTTCAGTTCCCTGTATACAGCTTAACCCTGCCCAGTGTTTTCTAATATTTTATTTTATAAATAAGACCTCAAAAAGTAGCAGTATCTGATGAGTGTCTTTATGTTTTCAAAATGTGTTTTCCTCAGTAGGTAAATCTGTTTCTTGTCAGCTGTGAATGTTATCTGTCTGTTTGAGCTCTAAAAATTCCAAATCACATTATTCTATGTATTCAGCAAGTATTTTTGCGTATTTATGATGTACCAGGAAATGTTGTAAGTGCTGAGTCAGACTGCCTATGACCTTGTCTTGCTTAGATTTTTAATTGTGAGTATAGGTAAGCAAGTAAATGTAAAGCTTAATTAGGGAATGCTAAGTACTTCAGCAGGAATGGGACAGCGTGAGGGGTCGGAGAGCAACATGGGTTAGGGAGAGTGTCACTCAGCAGGTGTTATTTGTCCAGATATTTAAGTGCAGTCAATGGACAAGCCACTGTGTCTCAGTTCCTAGCCAATCCCCAGACAGTGCTTGAAGGTGAAGTGCATAAACTGGAATGATACATGCAGAGGCGTTCTAGCCTAATACTGCAAATTTAAGATCACTCTATTTAGATATTTATCAAATAATAAGATGGGTAGACTCAGTTCATGAAAGATGGCCTGCAGAACTTGCACAACCCTTTTAAAAATCAGCTTTCTAAGTCATATAGCAAGCATCATTTTTGATCCATACTTAAAACACTCTCCTTGTTTTCACACATGCTACATACTTAATTTTTTGATCCTTGGTCAAACACGTTATCCATTGTGCTACTGGGCCATACTTCACTTTGTTTAATCCTCAAAGAAACTCCAAGGGAAAGTTATTATTCATTATGTTTTGCAAGAAATAAAACTGAAACTCAGACAAGTTAGGAAACTTATTCAATGTCACTTATCAGATGACTACCCCCACCCCAGTGTCTGCCATCACTTAACTGGGTGATCAAGTAAGTATGTGTTTGTGTGTCTGTATATGAAATATGTGTACATATACACAATATATATTTTCAAATGAATAGTTATAACATTAAATTTTCACAATGATTTACACTGTTTTTAGCCACTGTCTCAGTTATTACATTAAATATTTCTATTTTATTTTTAGTTTTCATGTCATGGAAAGAAATATTCTTTCTCTGTGGTGTTCTTTCTATCCTAGCATGTTTTTCTTCCCTCCAAATAGGGGATAAATTAATTCATATACTTTTTTAGAAAGTACTCTACTTTTTAAAAACTTCAATTCTTTTAAACTTATTTAGGTATCATCAGAGATTTTCTGCTTAACTCTCCCCAAAGTATTTACTTTCTTTCTACTTTTCCATATCTTTCATCATCATAATTTATAACTGTGACATTCATCTTATATCTCATGCATTTCTACCTTCTTTACTAATGACCTGCTCATATGGAAATGACATCTTACAAAATTACACCATTTTGTAAATCTTTGAAGCTTATCCCACTTTGTATAATCATTACTATCTTGAAACTTTACTTCTTAGAATTTATGTTGATAAAAGATTACATGTGCAAAAAACCATTATTTTGGAAAACTATGTCAATAAACT